TTTTTTAACTCGAGCGCTTGAGCCCGCGTTATTGACCGCATAGCCATGACGTAGCATTGCGTTTTTCAGCTCTGACCTTGGGCGCAGAGTTTGAGCAAGGGCGAAGTTCATTTGGTAATTTTCCGCGACGGAGCGTGACGTTTATCCAATAGCACCGATTTAAAGAGTAAATCGAGTGGTTTTTAATTTTCAATGGCAACTTTGAAGAAGATACAATGGTCGACGTGACATACCCTGCTCATCTTGCAATGCAGCTGTCCACACCATCAGATCAACACTGGCTGAGACAGTTTGAAGCTTCCAAGGCAACGAAGCTGCAGAATTTTCTGCTTTCTTTTGAAATTCTGCCTTCACTGTTGTGAAAACCTGTTTGCCGACATTATAAGCTCTGCTTGCCACACTTGCAGAAATACCTGAAATAAAAAAATAAAAGATTTTTCTTTGCGGTTGTTAAGCTGTGCTAATTCCTGTCAATCGCTCCATAAGTCGCCTCGTCTGACTGACAGTCTCTTCATCCTCCTAATTTATTTTTTCTGTCAGTCAGTCCCAATCCATTCATCTGTCTGTCTGTCTAACTGCTCAATCATCCATCTATCTTTCTGTCTGTCTGTTTGTCCACTCCTCTGTCTATTTCTCTATCAGGGTACCCTAGTACTATCAACTGAGTTGATAACGTAAATTGGCCACTGTAACGAGACACTTCTGACCTTCTGACGAAGGGCTAACGCGCGAAACGTCAGCTTTAAAACTCTTTACGGTGGCCAATTTACGTTATCAACTCAGTTGATAATCCTAAATTACCCAGTTATACTCTCCCACCGAGTCAGCTCCACAGTTTCTTGAGAAACTTAACCCCTCTATTTATTTGCTTTTCTATCAGTTGTCTACACATTTGTATCTGCCTCACTGTCCTTGTCTATACAAGAGTCTCTGTCCATATTTGATCAATTCGTCTGTCAGACCTGTCACTCCAGGGACTGATCAGTACAGCTAATTCACTAGAGTTAAAATTATTTATCTGGGACAAAAATTATTCAACCCTTTGACTCTCAAGATCTAATTGTTGATAATCCCCTCTAACTGCAACACATGTCCTTCTCGATAAAATAAAAGAATTTGGTTTTAGATCAGGATATAAACTAAAATTTGCTGGATAATGTATGAGTAATAATTGTAGGGAGAAGTTTCATGTGAATCACTTCTGGGAATTAAAGGGTTAAGAGAATCTGCACAAGTTACATGTGCTGCTGTTATAAAGGTCCCCTCTCTGAACTGATTTCCCTTTATTGCAAATGGAGTGGCTGTGATTCATTTATCAATGCATGAGCTCATTAGATAAGCATCCATGAGTATCTCTTAAGGGCAAATGTTGAAAAATGTTTCAATAAAAAACAAAATATTATCATTTGGGGGAAACTAGTTGTTAAATTCTGGTAATTGAAGGATATGTGTCTCACCTGGAGTATTCTGACACAGATCCCTCAACAATGTTACCATAGATAACAATACAGCTTCACTGAACGAGTGGAATGGAAAAGAAGTCTTTAACAGGTCTGCCTAATCACAAAAGAACAAAATATGGGTTAACCTATGAGTTTAATAAATTAGGAATTTTCACAAATTTTCTGGTCTATATTTATTACAAGAAACAACAACAACAACAACAACAACTTTAGGTATTATCAACCACTTACCAGTGATAAGAATCAATGATAAATATTATTTAAACACAGGAGTAGATCAATCATAAAAAAATAATTGCTGAAAGGATCTCAACCTGATTCAACAGATGGCACACTGCTTATGAAAACTGAATCAATCAACTCCTCGTTAATATGGCATTATGGGAAACTGCATCGCATGCTAGTTAATCGTTACTGCTAAGATTCAATGAGGAACACTGAAAGAAACTAGGTTGAATCCAAATCAGCATAATTGCATTGGTTTTTTATGATCAAGACATTTCATTGTCAACACATCTTTTCTAACCAGGAGTATTAAAGGGTGGAGGCAAATTGCAGTGGGGGGGGGGGGGG